CGCTATGCCCCTACTTATACATCCCGAAATGCCATTGGCCTTCTTGGCAACAAGGGCACACTGCTGACTCATATCCAGCTTCTCGTCCACTGTCACCCCTAGGTCCTTTTCCGCAGAACTGCTGCCTAGCCATTCGGTCCCTAGTCTGTAGCGGTGCATTGGGTTCTTCCGTCCTAAGTGCAGGACCCTGCACTTATCCTTATTGAACCTCATCAGATTTCTTTTGGCCCAGTCCTCCAATTTGTCTAGGTCCTTCTGTATCCTATCCCTCCCCTCCAGCGTATCTACCACTCCTCCCAGTTTAGTATCATCCGCAAATTTGCTGAGAGTGCAATCCACACCATCCTCCAGATCATTTATGAAGATATTGAACAAAACCGGCCCCAGGACCGACCCTTGGGGCACTCCACTTGATACCGGCTGCCAACTAGACATGGAGCCATTGATCACTACCCGTTGAGCCCGACAATCTAGCCAGCTTTCTACCCACCTTATAGTGCATTCATCCAGCCCATACTTCCTTAACTTGCTGACAAGAATACTGTGGGAGACCGTGTCAAAAGCTTTGCTAAAGTCAAGAAACAATACATCCACTGCTTTCCCTTCATCCACAGAACCAGTAATCTCATCATAAAAGGCGATTAGATTAGTCAGGCATGACCTTCCCTTGGTGAATCCATGCTGGCTGTCTTCAGGTTTGTCTTCCGAGTTTTCTCTTACATATTAGATTTTTTTTTTTTAATCACAATTCATGTTCCTTCAGCTCTTGGGAATGAGAAACGTAATTGCCTCCATATTAGTCATACTGTAGATGGACTGGAATTTGTGACTTTGCAATGTCACATAAATCCACAATTTTAAACTCCGCACCTGAAATAGTAGCACACTTCATACTTCCAATTTATTGGTACGTATTTCTTTTCTCTGTTCTGCTGTGCTCCCTTGCATTGTTCTTCAAAGTTATTTTCCAGAGACTCGTTAGATTTAAAATGACTGTCTTCTGTTTCGGCAGCTTCAGCAGTCTGCTAATGAAAGGATTTAATCTTTTACTCAGGAATAGATATTGATCAATTTTTTAAATCAAAAAAATTTAAGCAAAAATAAATCCAGAAGAGAAAAGGAGAACAAAAAACCCATCTTTCCCTCGGTCAGTTATGAAACTCTAGGATTGAAAGCAGAATAGCTTAATCTCTGAGCCCATTCTATTCTTGGCCTGCCAGTGAGAGTTGTGTTAGTGATGGTACTTGATGTAGCTGTATGCACACTGAGACCAACAACTTATGTTACTTAGCCCATTAAATAGCCTTCAGATGGAAATGACAGGTCACAAGGTACTTGATATAGAATAAAGAAAAGGAGGACTTGTGGCACCTTAGAGACGAACAAATTTATTTGAGCATAAGCTTTCATGAGCTACAGCTCACTTCATTGGATGCATTCGATGAAGTGAGCTGTAGCTCACGAAAGCTTATGCTCAAATAAATTTGTTAGTCTCTAAGGTGCCACAAGTCCTCCTTTTCTTTTTGCGAATACAGACTAACATGGCTGCTACTCTGAAACTTGATATAGAATGGAGTTCATGATTTAGGATTGAAAGGCTCTATAATGCTGATAATGATCACCTGAACTGTCTAGTCCCCTAGCTTGTGCATTTTTTTTAGCCTTTGCTGGCCTGGGTTGGGGGAGAGTCTTTATGTTAAAAAAAAAAAAAAAAAAAGTGTTAAACACGACTTGGCACCTAGATTACACAATGTCTCACTCCTTTTTAAAAAAGTATAAGAAGCAAATATTTACTACTGCTTCAAAGACTTGTGCATTATTAAATAATACAATTTGTGAAAAAGGTTAGGATGGCATTCTAGCATTTTGAAACCTAGACCATTTAAAATTTTGGCATGTTTTAAGCAGAATCCTGACAGTGGAGGTCTGCAGAGCTCATTAAGTTAACAGAAAATGGTGAGAACTTTGCTGATGTTCACCTTCCTGCTTCAGCATGTGCTTTGTGATGCTAAAGTCCAGCAGTCTTTTGGAGCCTGAGAATATTTTTGGAATAGTAACTTTTAAGAAAAGTTCCCCTGCAGGTTGAGGAGCCTGACGGTCTTAGCTTTCCCTTTGCAAGTCCTGCACTGCTGAGCGTTGGAGATGCATGAAGGCAGAAAAAACAGGGATTGGAGTGCACTAAGACACTGTCTACTATCTCAGTTCATGCCACTATTATAGGCAGAAGTAGATGCAGAGAATATGCTCCCATTTTTCCTTACTGGAAGTGAGCTGCTGCTGCTGTTCTGCACTGTGCACCAGTTTGGAGGAGGGAGGGGAATTAAAAGGAAAACTTCAGGCAAGTCTTGAAGATAATTTCTGTAGACAATTCCCAGGGAGGTCTCCAAGTCACGGATCAAATACAATTCAGTACACAAAATCAATAAATCCTTAGATGCACTCCATTATGCTAAAAGCTGTCCAACACCTAATGGGATCTGGAGTGTTCAAACCAGGGGACAAACACTGAAGAAGTGTATATGTTTCTTCCCCCCAGTATGGTTCCAAAGAAATCAGGAGATGAGAGAGTGGTGTTGAGTTTTATGGAAATGAAATAATTTACCTCTCCAGATACCCGAGGACAAAAAGATGGGTTGTGGTTCATGTCAGTTCATACCTAAAAAACCTTTAAAATAAATAAATAATTAAAAAAAAATTCCAGATTCTAGAATTAAGAGAGAGGGCATCAAAACAGAGCCAGTAGCCCACTCTTTTCAAATGGAGGGTGTTCCAGTCAAGTGTTTCAGATGTTGGCAACTGGAGTACTATTATAGGGGAGGGATGATTGTGGATAAACATGTCCTAGACCTAGACCATTTAGGCAGTAGTCAGTTACTTCTCAGTGGTTAATATTGGTGAGGTGAGGCGAGGGGTGAGTGTGAAAGTGAAATGGAGGGGAAGAGACAAGGGTTTCTCTAAACAGGTTGGTAAGGAAATGCGAAGTTCTGGTAATAGCCAGTACATAGTACTATCTTTACATGTTAATGCAGAGGGCAAACTATGGCCTGCGGGCCACATCCGGCCCGCGGGACCCTCCTGCCTGGCCCCTGAGCTCCCGGACCGGGAGGCTAGCCCCTGACCCCTCCTCTACTGTTCCCCCCTCCCTGCAGCCTCAGCTCACTGCACTGCTGGCTCAATGCTCTGGGCAGCGTGGCTGCGAGCTCCTGGGGCAGCGCAGCTGCAGAGCCGCGGCCTGACCCAGCGCTCTGTGCTGTGAGGTGGCGTGGCTGGCTCCAGCCCGGCGGCACGGCTGCCTGTCCTGGTGCTCTGGGCGGCAAGGCTATAGCGCCGTCAGCAACCAGTGCTCCAGGCAGCATGGTAAGGGTGCAGGGGGCGGGGGGGGTGGATAGAGGGCAGAGGAGTTTGGGGTGGTGGTCAGGGGGAGGGGGTGTGGACAGGGGTTGGGGCTGTCAGAGGGCAGGGAACAGGGGGAGTTGAATGGTGGCAGGAGTCCCGGGGGGTGGGGGGGGACAGTCAGGAAGGAGAGGGCGGTTGAATGGGGAAGCGGGGGGCAGTCAGGGGACAGGGAGAAGGGGTGGTTGGATGGGGCAGCCTCCCCTAACCGGCCCTCCATACAATTTCGGAAACCTGATGCAGCCCTCAGGCCGAAAAGTTTGCCCGCACCTATGTTAACGCATTGAGGTTACTTGTGAACATGAAAGGTGTAGATTATGTTCAGAAGTAAACCTCATAATTCTATACTTAATCAGCTGCTGCAGTGTTACAGCCTTTGATTCATTTTGAAGAATTCTGTGATAATTCCTATTATTAGTAATACTGATGTAACTTTAGCTGCTGTGATTAAATTATACCTCATGGTTGCAAAAATGTAAACATTTATTTACTGATATGAAGTGTTTGCAGTTGGCTATTGTATAGGCTCACAGTTGCAGCTCAGAAAATATGCTGGTTTCACAGAACACAGTCTGCAAGTGCTAACAATAAATCTGGAGTCTTATGTTTTTGTTTTTCATTGCTTATGGATTATTTCATACTTTGAAAATTCTATACACTTTTGTGTGAGATGTGGAATCTTCTCGTATGACTATTGTATTCAGTGTTAGGTCATGTATACAGGACATACATATAGAAAAATAGATGATATGTTTTACAATTCAGGTTTTTTTAATGTTTAATTAATTGGCTTCCCATTTGAAATTAGTATTAGCAGATGTAAAGATCTGATGCAGAGTGGTGAAGAAGAGATATTTTAACAGTATTTCCCAGTGATGCCCAAGGTCTGAGTTACAACTTGTAATGTCGGAAGTTTCCTAACTTGTGGGATTTTATTTTTAATACAAACAATTCACATGGGGCAAAGATAATAGAAGTTTTCAAATAATTTCAATTAATACATCTTAAAAATTGGTAACTCTAGAGGTTAAAATCTCAGCAAAAGCAGTTTTCAAATTTCTGCATCCCCCAGCAACGCTGCGTTGTATTGAGATGGCTGATGATCACTTTACCTATGCTATGCAGCACTCAATGCAGTTTATTTAGATCACTTTGGATATGAATAAAGTGCATGTAATAGCACCAAATGATTCTCTAGAGCATTGGTTCTCTACCTATTTACCATTATGGGCCACATATGGAGCTGTCTGTGTTACGTGGGCCACATCCACACACTATATATATATATATATATATACTACCTGTATGGCCCTGAGGATGTCGCATGGGTCGCAGCTATGTGCTGACTGGGCCGCAAGCGGGCCGTAGGTTGAGAACCACTTGTCTAGTGAGAGGCAAATGGTTAGTCTCCACCCTAGGAATGAGGTAGATAAGCTAAAAGTAGGAAGAATTTCTGAAGTAAGTGCAGTCTGTGAAATAACTGTTGTCACATCTCAGTGAAAACTAACAACTCATTAGTTGTGTACTGGTGCTATTTTGCTTCAGGCTGGTAAGTTCAACTGAATATTTAGAGAAATAATGACTATCACATTTTTTTTCTTTGACAGGAGCACACCAGATGTTGTTGCTGGCAGTATTTGTAATGCCTCTCAACGATCTCAACTCTGACTTCTCCAAGTTTCAGGAAATGATAGAAACAACTTTAGACATGAACAAGGTATGGGATAGTATCAGGGGGCAGCCGTGTTAGTCTGTATCCACAAAAACAACAAGGAGTCCGGTGGCACCTTAAAGACTAACAGATTTATTTGAGCATAAGCTTTCGTGGGTAAAAACCTCAGAACTGGAGCCGGAGGAAGCTCCCGGAGGTGGAGGTAAGTCTGATCTTCCACGTGCTGCTGGGAGTGTCCCAACCAGAGGCTCCTAGCTGCTAGTCCCCACAGGTTGGGGAGGGACAGGACTTGCTCTTCTCCTGCACAGCCCCTTTCAGGGCGGGGAGATCAGACCCACTTCTGGGTACCTCCACAGGCTGCAGGAAGCTCCACAGCTGGGCAGCAGCCCCAGAGCTTCCTGGAGCTGGAGGAGGTTCCCGGAGGTGGAGGTGGATCTGATCTCCCCCTTGCTACTGAGAACACCCCATCCAGGGGCTCTTAGCTGCTAGTCTTGGCCTCACTTCTGCCCTGCCTCTAGAAGTGGATCAGAACTCCCCGTCGAGAGCGCCTGTGCAGGGGATGGACAAGTTCTGTCCTTCCCCAGCGCGGACTAGGACTGAGGAGCCCCCGGCTGGGGTGCTCCCAGTAGCATGGGGAGATTGGATTTCATGGGGAAGGGAATATTTAACGGTACATAATAAATTTTTCATGGCTGTGAAATTGGTAGGGCCCTGGAGATGACGTAGAGGTTTTTCATTGAACTCAAATAATAGGAAAATGCTGGAAGAATTGCAAATTGGGGTTTTGGAAATAAAATATAAAATGTTTAAATAAACCACTTTATTGCATGAATGTGCTTACTTGCTTGAAATCCAAAGCCTGCAGCATTGCTTCTCATCCTCAGAGCAATAGCCAGCAAGAGTGTAAAGATCAATTTTAAAAAGTTAGAAATTTCTTTCTTTTTCCATTTTAAAAACACTTTCACCCTAAATTCACGTAGAAGAGAATATTTCCAGGGGTAACTACTCCCGCCAGGTAACATGGCACACTTGAGCAAGCTGTACAAGAACTTTTTTCAAGTAGAATAGCTGATTATATAAAGTCTGTTTTTAGACAAGTTTACACAGCTGTGTTTCCATACTCGTATGTGGCGGATTGCCAGGTTGATCTGCCTACACTTCCAATTTATTTGTTTTTGTTTTGTATTTTGCAGTGGTACTGTAACTTTCCAAACTGAAGCTAATTTACTTATTTTTAGTTCCCTGTTCAAGTTTGCAGCAGCTTATTCAGAGGCAGTGGTTGGTTACTTCCCAAATTAAAGATATATTAGAGGGGTTTGAACTTGTAAACATGACTAAATAGATTTTGGTTCACCCCATCTGATCCATATATGTTCCTTTAAATAGTTATAGAAACATGTTTCTCTGCTTCGTGAACTAGTGCTTAATTTCTGCAAAAAAAATTCCCACCGAAGATATATTCTTCTGCTAAATTGTGTACAGATGCTACTTTGGATGACTAGAGCTATTCTGATGCTATACATTCAAATTTCTGCTACTGATTTAGCATTTGTTAGGGTTTTAGATGCGCAATTTTTCTAAAATAAAGCTACCTAAATCTTCTGTTGATAGTATTACAAGTTACTTAGATTGTAAGCTCTTCTGGCACAGTAGAGTCCTCGTCCATAAATTGGGCTCCTAGGTGCTACAGATAATAAATACATGCTTGCACATGGGAGCCTATCCTAAATACTGAGGTTGAGATTTTCAAAACTATGTAAGAAATTTGTCATTCAAGTTAATGGGGGATTTTGTCTAAATCCCCTAAAATGCTTTGAAAATTCACCTCTGGTATTCAAAGTACCAAGGCTAATATGGGAGAGAATAACTGAATTTGTATTTTGTGTATTGGAACAAATTTTGAAAGAGAAAATAGCTAAGGACAAAGACGTAAATGGTAATTGGGATAAAATACAACGTGGTTTTACAAAAGGTAGAATCATGCAAGAACAGCCTGACCTCCTTTTTTGAGAAGATAATTGATTTTTTTAGACAAACAAAATGCAATAGATCTAATCTACCTGGATTTCAATAACATATTTGATACAGTTCCACATGGGAAATTATTATTTAAATTGGAGAAGATGGGGATTAATATGAGAATTGAAAGGTGGATAAGGAACTGGTTAAAGGGGAGACTACAACAGTTCATACTGAAAGGTGAACTGTCAGGCTGGAGGGAGGTTACTAGTAGAGTTCCTCAGGGATCAGTCTTGAGACCAAACTTATTTAACATTTTATTAATGACCTTGGCACAAAAAGTGGGAGGGTACTAATAAAATTTGCAGATGACACAAATTTGGGAGGCATTGCCAATACAGAGGAGGACCAGAATATCATACAAGAAGATTTAACATCCTTGAAAACTGGAGAAATGGGATGAAGTTTAGTACTGCAAAGTACAAGGTCATGCACTTAAGGACTAACAACAAGAAGTTTTGCTGTCAGTTGGAAGAGACAGGAGGAGGAGAAAGATCTAGTATTGGCTGGTCACAGGATGGCTGGGCTGCCAGTGTGATGTGGTTGTGAAAAAGGCTAATGCAGTCCTAGGATGTATGCAAGGTATTTCCAGTAGAGACAGGGGAGTGTTAGTACCATTATGCAAGGCACTGGTGAGACCTCATCTAGAATACTGTGTGCAGTTCTGGTCTCCAGTCTTTAGGAAAGATGTATTTAAACTGGAAGAGGTGCAGAGAAGGGCCACTAGGATGATAAAAGGAACAGAAAACCTATCTTATGAGAGAAGACTCAAAGAGCTTGGCTTTTTTAGCTTAACCAAAAGAAGGCTGAGGGGACATACGATTGCTCTCTATAAATACACCAGAGGGATAAATACTAGGGCGGGAGGAGAGGAATTATTTAAATTAAGTGCCAGTGTGGACACAAGAACAAATGCATATAAACTGGCCATCAGCAAGTTTAGTCTTGAAATTAGACAAAGGTTTGTAACCCTCAGAGGAGTGAACTTCTGGAAGACCCTACCAAGGGGAGCAGTGGGGCAAAAAACCTAACTGACTTCAGGACGGAGACTGATAAGTTTATGGAGGGGATGGTATGGTGAGGCTGCCTACAGTGGCATGTAGCTGATACATGACTTCTAGCAGCAAATATCGCCAGTGGCTGGTGATGGAACACTAGATGGGAAGAGTTACTGTTAAGATAATTCTCTCCCTGTTGTCTAGCTGGTAGGTCTTGCCCACATGCTCAGAGTTTAACTGATCACCATATTTGGGGTTGGAAAGGAATTTCCCCCTAGATCAGATTGGCAGACACCCTGGCAGTTTTTCATCTTCCTCCGCAGCATGGACCATGGTGTCACTTGCAGGTTTAAACTAGTGTAAATGGTGGATTCTCTGTAACTTAAGTCTTTAAATCATGATTTGAGGACTTCAGTAACTCAGCCAGAGGTTATGGGTCTATTGTAGGAGCAGCTGGGTAAGGTTCTGTGGCCTTCAGCGTTCAGGAGGTCAGACTAAATGATCATCATGGTCCCTTCTGGCCTTAAAGTCTATGAATCTATGAATATTCATAACTCTTATGGACTCCTGTGGAATGTTATATGTGAGGACGTATCTGGAAGAGACACATCTGTAAGCCCCTGCCTGTGCCACTCTGTCTCATGTCTTATACTTAGATTGTAAGTCCCTTGGGGCAGGGACCATTGTGTTTGTACAACATGGCACAGTGGGGTCCTGGTTCATGACTAGGGTCCAAAGGCACTATGGTAATGCAAATAATAAATAAAGCAAATGTTTTACTCTAGTACTAGGATATGTATTTTAATTGTTTTGAGGTAAAATAAAATACAAATGACAAATTGACAATACTGACAGAAAAAAAATGACTGGTAAAGCCTCATTAATAGATGGGTGTTGATTAATGGTCAGTCTTTCAGACTGTAGTGTCCAGCAAATGTTCGGTCTCTTTCTTTATGCCCACAACATCAGGAAGATTATCCTTATCATGAGAATGAAAGACTGTAAGAACACATGACAGTGACATCAGAAACATTCACAAATAACTACCCAACTGTTTTATTAATAATTTTGTTATGCAGCTAAACAGTGCCACAAGCACTGAAATATGACAGCGGATAGAAACAATGCAAAGTGTTTAGCCCTATGACTGCTATCGCTCACATCTCCTGCCCAGGAACCCCAGAGTGTCAGTCATTACTTTCTCCTCATCATCTGTAGTGGTCGTCCTCGCGTCTCCTGGTGCGTTCCCCATCCCCACTTCCACCCCCGCACATAGGTTAGGCAATATCTTTTATCCTGAGTTACCCTACTAAGGTTGTATACCGTTTCCAACCCCTTTTTCCTTATCCATACTTCCACACCCCACTAATTTAGGGATCTCCCATTTCTCTTTGGCTGTAGGCCCTGTGTTGCAACATTGGTTAATGTTTTGTATTCCACCTCTATATCCTAAATATACTTTACCTTCTATTCTTGGGTATATTGGAAATGTACAGTTCATTCACTAATATCAAAATTGCAGTAAGATTATCACCTCTTGAGCAACTGTATAAGCAAAAGAAGGAAGTTAACAAGTTTCTGCCACACATTTGGCTTTAAAGATCGTTGCAATTCTGACTTTCTGAAGAGGCCAATGAAGTTTTCCTAAATGGTATTAAATATTGATGTTTGTCCTGTAGCCTGAATACTGTGTGACTTCTACATCTGTTTACTGACCAATAATTGTCAATAACAATTGTTCTGCATTTCTTAAGTCACTTGTCCCTGGATAGACATATAAATAACTACCTTCTGAAACTGTTTTTCCACAGAGACTTGTGTAGAACCACTAATTGGCACTTGTGAAGTGTTTCTAAATCCCATAGTTTTGGTGCTGTCAGGGAACCTGTTCCAGGACTCGTAATTCTAGCATGTGACCAGTTCATGATACTTTTCTCTACTGCTGTAATGTCAAGTACACGTAGCATTATTTGATTGAATCAAGTGTGCATCGCTAATATGTTGCCTCTGTGGCAAATAATTGATCCA